TGCCCAGTCGTTTTTGGCTTTTTCTTGTTCTAAACTTTAAACATGTGAGGAAGTTCGTTGAGTTTGTTTGCTGGGCATGTTGCCAGCCAGAAGCAGATGGAGTTAGGTAGGTAAGGAAAAAAGAGAGAATGGTTTCTAGGTAGGCAACTGCCACCATTTTAAAAAAGTTATTTATGTAGTTTATTATTATTATTTAGAGATGGGAGGGCGGTGTCTCACTGTGTTGCCCAGGTTGGTCTTGGACTTCTGGGCTCAAGTGATTTTCCCGCCTCAGCCTCCCAAAGTGCTGGGACTATAGGCGTGGACCACCCAGCTTGTCTTCTATGGGTTTAATGATGTCCCTAATCTCTCCGTTTTGTGCCATTGCCCTGGGATTGGGCATGTAATAGATTATTTGTATACTAGGCAGCAGGGATAGTGTTAGGGGCAGGATTACTTCTCTGGGGATCCCAGTGGGGCAGGACCCTACAGCCACAGCCTCACAACAGTTTGCAGTCAACTTGTATATTGTATAACGCATCTCAGAGGAAGGATAGCCCTTCTGTGGCTTTGGAACCACTGGCCTTCTGTACATGGGAGAGGGCTGGTGAGATCCTCTAGGGGACCTGCTGATTCCAATTAGTTGTTTATTTTATTTTATTTTATTTTTTGAGACAAGGTCTCACTCTGTTGCCCAGGCTGGAGTGCAGTGATGCAATCTTGGCTCACTGTAACCTCCACCTCCTAGGCTCAAGCAATCCTCCCACCTCAGCCTCCTGAGTAGCTGGGACTACAGGCCGGCACCACCATACCCGGCTAATTTGTTGTTGTATTTTTAGTAGACACGGGATTCTGCCATGTTACCCAGGCTGGTCTCAAACTCCTGAGCTCAAGTGGTCTGCCCATCTCAGCCTCCCAAAGTGCTGGGATTACAGGCGTGAGCCACCACGACTGGCCGTGCTGATTCCAGTTAGAAAGAGGTTTGCTGAAAGCTGGTTGAGGGGCTTTTAACTTCCAGCTGTGTCTTCATTTAAGGGCTGAATTTCTAATCCCAGGTGGCCAGCAGAGACTGCAGTTTCACCTGCCATTGTGCGGGGTAATTTCCTTTGTTGGCAAACACTCATGAGAGAATTACGGCATAGACCATACCTCAGTTTCCTCATCAGCATAACAGGAGTAATGACAATTATGCCTCCCTCTCTGGGTTGTGATGCATAAAAAGGATAATGATGTCACCTACCAAGTTGTACTGTGCCAAGCATCAGGCTGCTAGCAAGCATTTAAGCGTTTCATCTTGTTAAAGTCTCCCAATGACTCTATGTGAGGCAGCTATGATTAACTTCATTTAACAGGTGAGGAAACTGAGGCAGATAAGGTGCAGAGACTTACCAGAGTCCACATACCTAGTAGGTGGTCAGGGCAGAACTTGAACCCATGTCTGCTGACTTGAAGCCCATGATTTATAAATATCAGCTAAATTAGAATCTGAATGTAAACGGTAAGTCACAGTCTTGCCTGGGCAGTTGAAAGAGTGCTCCAGTGACTCCTGGTTCACACCCCAGTCCGTCTTCTGGACCTTCTCATGGGCTGTGCTCCTAAACCTGGGGTACAAACCACCCTTGGCACCTGGAATGACTGGAGAGAAGGCATATGTGGCCTCCCCACCAGCCCACGTGACTCTCATTCCCCAAAGTCAGGTGGACTGGTGGGGAGATCCAGGTAGCTACCTGGATCAATGGTGGCCAACCTCCGTGGATTGCTGAGGGGTGAGGCCAGCCTGCACATCAGCAGCCAGACTCCCAGGGCCCAGACAGGACTGATTCCAGTGCCAGTTTAAAGCCTACAGCAGCTGGGCAGAGCCCCAAAACAGACAGATTGAGACCTTCCCCTGCTGGCCAGCACTGTCACGAATCTGACAGTGCAGACCAGCCCTAGAAATGCCTAATTCTTGGGAGGCTGAGGTGGGAGGATCACTTGAGGTCAGGAGTTCAAGACCAGCCTGGGCAACGTAGAGAGATCCTATCTACAAAAAAATAAAAAAATTAGCTAGGTGTGGTGGTGTCACACACCTGTGGTCCCAGCTACTAGGGAGGCTGAGGTGTGCAGATTACTTGAGTTCAGGAGGTTGAAGCTGCAGTGAGCCGTGACTGCACCACTGCACTCCAGCTTGGGCAATAGAGCAAGATGTGAGAGAGAGAGAGAGAGAGAGAGAGAGAGATGGAAAGAGGGAAGGAGGGAGGGATGGAGGGAGGGAAGGAGGGAGGGAGGGAAGGAAGGAAGAAAGGAAGAATGGATGGAGGGATGGATGTAGAGATGGGATCTCCCTGTGTTGCCCAGGCTGGTCTTGAACCCCTGGGTTCAAACAATCCTCCCTCCTCAGTCTCCCAAAGTGTTGAGATTATGGGCAGGAGCCACCGCTCCTGGTGCTCTGGGTGGATATATTTTTTTTAATTTCTGCCGTACCTTCTCCTTCACAAAACTCTCACCCAAGCTGATGGCTCTCCATTTAGCACAGGGTCATGAGGGAAGATGAATTATTAACTCTGTCATTAGCTCAGATTAAAAAAAAAAAAAAGTAATTGGGAAGTAAATTTATTGCGGACGTGGTGTGCCCACTGCTTAATAAAATGAGCTAAGAGTTCAGCCACAAACACCGTCCATCAATGCTGTGCAGACTGCAAGATGAAGCTTGAAGAATGATGCTGATGCTGGGGGAGGCAGATTTACAGTTGTTGGATGTGTTGATGTCATCTGTTAAGGACCGTCTTTAATCCTCAGGAACAACAGATGCTTTTGATCCCCACTGTATTAAATAAGCAGATAGAAGATTCATAACAGCGTCTTGAGCATTACTCACTGGGCATAAGAATAGGCCCACTCAGTCATTTTTGAGAGGATGTTGGCTTGCATTTGAGGTGCCTGGGGAATATGAAGGGATATAGGGTTTATAGTAATGATTTTAGCACTGATGATAAAATCATCATAAATGTATTGACCAATTTACAGTTGACCAAGTTCTCACTCTCCTCCCTCTGGTGCTCATGCACCCTAGGAAGTAGGTTACATCCCAATTTTTTTATTTAAAAATGTTGTTATTCTTCTCCTCGCCCCCCTCCATTTTTTGAGACAGGGTCTTGCTCTGTCACCCAGACTGGAGTGCAGTGGTGCGATCTCAGCTCGCTGCAGCCTCTGCCTCCCAAGTTTGAGTGATTCTCCTGCCTCAGCCTCCTGAGTAGCTGGGATTACAGGTGTGCACCACCATGCCCGGCTAATTTTTGTATTTTTAGTAGAGATAGGGCTTCATCATGTTGGCCAGGCTGGTCTCGATCTCCTGACCATGGATCAGGTGATAGATCAGGTGCTCCATCTGCCTCAACCTCCCAAGGTGCTGGGATTACAGATGTGAGTCACCGCGCCTGACCTAAAATTTCGTTTTACAAATGTTCTGCTGTTTTATTTATATGCTGTTATTTAATACCATAAACAATGCGGTGATGAATATCCTTCTGTTTGTGAACATGCCCATGATGACTTTGTTAGGAATAGTGGGCACGAGAAGTGACTCGCTGGCTCCAGTGGAATACATAAATCTAAGAGAGAAATCACCCTCCAGATAGCACTGCTCCAGTGTCCACTCCTCCCAGCACACTATGTGAGGGGCTGTGTCCCCGTGACCCTCCTACACCTGGACTACCTCCCATTCTCCATGTGGGAAAACTGAGGCTCAGAGAGGTCAAGGGATGAGGCCAAGGTCACACAGCTACAACATGCCAGCACCTGGACTGGAATGCAAGTTTCCTGGTCCTAAGTCTGGAACTGTTCCTCCACAACAGAAATCCAAACCCCATGTCTTCTTCTTTTTTATTTTTTTATTTTTTGAGACAGAGTCTCACTCTGTTGCCCAGGCTGGAGTGCAGTGGCACGATCTCGGCTCACTGCAACCTCCACCGCCCAAGTTGAAGCAATTCTCCTGCCTCAGCCTCCTGAGTAGCTGGGATTACAGGCGCCTGCCACCGTGCCTGGCTAATTTTTGTATTTTTAGTAGAGACGGGGTTTTACTATGTTGAGCAGGCTGCTCTTGAACTCCTGACCTCGTGATCAGCCCGCCTCGGCCTCCCAAAGTGCTGGGATTACAAGCGTGAGCCACCCTGCCCAGCCAACCCCGTGTCTTTCATATTCTCCAGGCACCTCAACTGTAAGCCAGCATCCTGTCACGTCCTTTCAGTCCACTGCTGATTTCAGCCACCGCCAGAGTGGAAGTTCTGTGTCACACACTCTGCCTTCGCATGCACTGTTTTGCTCTGAGGTGACCTGAATGTAGACAAAGGCACAATGGAACCTCATGAGAGTGGCTGCCTGGCTTGGTGGCCACTGGTGGGCATCTGTAGCACACACCGCAGCTTCCCCACTCGTATCCTCTGGGCCACCTGGGTTCACTTGCATAGAATTATGGGTGGCTCCCAGCATGACAGCCTCTTACCTTAGGGGTTCGGGTCTCTCTGCTCCATCTGAGGATGCCCTCTGTCCCTCCAGAGTCTCCCTCATCACAGCAGGCACAGCCTGGAGGTGCAGAGGACTCAACGCCCTAATGGGCAGGTGGGTAAATGCCCAGTCTCCCTGTCCTCCGAGGACCCCACCGTTTCTTAGAGAATCTCAAGCCGCACTGAGCCCTGGTTGCCTTTGAAGTTAACTTGCTCACTCACAATCCTTTGCTGTTTTTTTCCCCTTTCCCCATCTTCTCGCTTGCATTTCCTGGGATCACCTCCCACTGAAATACTTGTGCCCAGGTCCTTGTGCTAGGGGTCTTCTTTGAGGGAATCCCCAGCTAAGACAGTACTGTTTCCCTTCCCTCTTATATTTTCCCTGTATTAGTTAGAGTTTGCTAGATTGCTGTAACCTAGAAGCCCCGGGATGCTTTGCTCAAATACAACAGAAATGTGTTCCTCTCTCACACAGCAGGCCAGGGTGGGTCTTCCAGGGTGAGTGTCCTGGGTCAGCAGGAAGGGGACTTGCCCCACTCAGTCACTTAGGGACCCTGCAGGTCTGCCGTTACATCCTGTGACCCCCAGGAGGTTCTGGCTGTCAATACTCCAGCCGCCAGGAAAGGGGAACGAGCTTGGAGGTGCGTGTGGAGGTGCATGCCAGGCCCAGAGGTGGCATGTGTCACTTCCATCACGATCCAGTAGAGAAAACCCAATCTTGCAGCCACACCTGACTGAAGGGAGGCTCCTCAGCCATTTACCCCTCTCTCTTTCACTGCTGGGGTCAGGGGGCGGGGGTAGAATACACTGTGGTGAGCAATTTGCAGTCTCTGCCGCAGCCCTCAAAAAAACAAAGCAAACAAACTAAAAACTCAAACTACTCTTACTATAAAGTTTTTACTTTAAAAATAATCACTTTTGGCTGGGTGTGGTGGCTCACGCCTGTAATCCCAGCACTTTGGGAGGCCAAGGTGGGAAGATCGCTTGAGCCTGGTAGTTTGAGACCAGACTGGGCAACACAGCAAGGCCCTATCTTTTAAAAAAGTGCCAAAAAAAAAAATTAGCGGTGTATGGTGGCGCATGCCCAGCTACTTGGGAGGCTGAGGCGGGAGGATCACTTGAGCCCAGGAGTTCAAGGTTGCAGTGAGCTGTGATCATGCCACTACATTCCAGCCTGGATGACAGAACAAAACCGCATCATAAATAAATAAATACATAAAAACAATTTTAAAAGTAAAGAGTCAGTTTTACATTCTATTTTATTTTTGTCATTTCAGGGAACCGGGGGATTGGACACCTGCTCTGTAAAGACGAGCTGCTGAAGGCCTCTCTCTCGCTGTCCCATGCCCGCTCAGTGCTCATCACCACTGGGTTCCCGACGCATTTCAATCATGAGCCTCCGGAAGAGACAGATGGCCCACCAGGAGCTGTTGCTCTGGCCGCCTTCCTGCAGGCCTTGGAGAAGGAGGTAGCCATAATCGTTGACCAGAGAGCCTGGAACTTGCACCAGAAGATTGTCGAAGACGCTGTTGAGCAAGGTGAGCAGTGAGATGCGCTTGGTCCATTTCCCCAGATGGGCTTTGTGGACGGAGGCTGGAGTGAATCCGCATCTGCAGCACAGAGCATTCTCCTTCCAGCTCACAACTCCGTTGTAAGCTGCATAGCCCGATTTTATAGACGAAAAGACCGAGGCTCTGGGAGGTCCAGGGGATTTTCCCAGGTGGAAATGGCGAGCTGGAATTTGAACTTGGATCCACCAGGCTCCAAAGCATGGGATCCTTCCTGCACACCTGCTGTTCTCCCTGTGCGATGGGGGGAATGATCTGCCAAGTATTAGCCACCAGGGGCAGCCCCGGACCACCAGAGCTGGGGAGGGTAGTGGAGTGTGAGGTGGCTGAAAGGCTCAGACAGCAGTCCCACCTGGTTGTGATGGGCAGGGCTGCACCTGGAGCACCCAGTGGGCGTTATTGCTGCAGGTGTTGGAGACTCGAGGCTGTAATTCCACTATCCGTGTAACCGAATCAGCCTCAGGCTCAGTGTGAACAAGCGCCGCTCACCTCACCTCCATCCTGCAGGAAGTGTTATCAGGCATGAGCTGGAAGCCTGGTGAATCTCACCTGCCTCCCACTGCCGATCGCTCTGTGTCCCTCAGAATGCATTCTTCAGAGGTATGTTTCTTCCTTTTAGCATTTAAAAAGGGCTTTAAACCCAGTAAGGCGTACCCTAAAGCAGCCATTATGTCAGAAGTTTCCAAAAGCCTGTGTCTGTACATGCAGAATCCATTTCATGCAGCGAATGTATGTTGAGCTCGAGTATGTGCCAGGCACTCTGTTAGGTTCTTGAGATCCACCCGTGAGCAAAACTGACAACAGTCCTGCCCCCACGGAGAGTATCTTCCAGCAGAGTGTGACAGACAAGAAACAACATGTAAGATGAAGGCACAGTGTGTTCGAGTGATGATGCCATGGGGAAAATGGACCAGGATGAGGAGACTGGAAAGTGAGGGGCTGGACGGTGGCAGCAGTGGGGGACAGCTGTCACTTTAAACAGGATGGCCAGGAAGACCCCCTGCAGGAGGTAGCCTTTGACTCCAGAATTCAGGTTGATGATGAGGGTGTGAGGCTTGGGCTGGCTGAGGGAAGGGCATCCTGGGCTGTGGCAATGGCTGGGGCAGAGGCCATTAGGTGGAGTGGGGGCCAGTGGGTTTAAGAAAGGATGGCATGCTGGCTGACTGGCCTGGAGTGAATGAGGAAAAGGGACAGAGAGGTAGCAGGGACCAGATGGGGCAGGGCCTCACAGGACCCTGTGGGCAGCTGGGCTTTTGTTCTGGGTGAGATGGGGAGCCTGGGATTTCTCTGAGTGGGGGACAGCCGTGTTCTGTGTGAGATGTAAGCGATCACTGGGGTGCAGAGACAAGGGTGGAAATGGGAGACTGGTGAGTTATGGAAGGTGGGAGAGGAGGACGGTTTGGAGTGGGGGTGCCTCATGGCACATCCCTTCAACCCCACTTCTGATTTCAGCCGCCACTGCAGTGGAAGTTCTGAGTCACATTGACCCGATTGGGCCGCCCACAAGCTAGGGCCCTGCAGGGCCTCTCCAAAGCCGTGTGGAATCACTGGCTGATGGCTTCAGGGCACCCTCAACCCCTGGGGGACAGGACCTGAGGTTAAATGACCTGTCCCCTGTCTTTTGGAGACACACAGGTCCTAGTGGAACTGAGCCCCCACTCCCTAGAGCAGCAACCTTGAAGGTGCACGTTCCCTCCTTCCCAGCCTCACTCTCCCTGTTCCTCCCACATGCTTCCTGGCACCATCTCCCAAGAGACCATCTGCACCCAAGTCTCAAGTTCTGGTTTCAAAGGAACCTAAAGAGACACTAGGTACAGATACAGAGGGCAGGGGGTATTGTGAGAAGTAGCCAGATGCTGTATCTATTTTGCAGTCAACATGATTTCCAGATGGATGGGATGTGGGTGTGAGGAGAAGGATCAGGGCTTGCTCTAAGGTTTGCGGCCTGGTAACTGAAAGGATGGAGTTGCTGTGAACCGAGATGGGGAGGACTGGCATGTTTAGGGGTAAATCAAGAATCCAGGTTTGACATTTGCGCCCTGATGGAGGGATTGTAAAATGGTGCAGATGCTATCAAAAACGGATGGCAGTGGCTCAAACAATTAAAAATAGCAAATACCATAGGGTCCAGCAATTCCACTTCCAGGCATATACCCCCTAAAAAGGAAAGCAGGGACTTAGAGGTATTTGTCCCCCCGTGCTCATAGCACTTTATTTGCGATAGTCAAGAGGAGGAACCAAATCAAGTGCCCATCGATGGATGAATAGATAAACAAAATGTGGTAGATAATTATTACTCAGCCTTAAAAAAGCAGGAAGTTCCGACACATGCTATAACATAGATGAACCTTGAGGACATCTTGAGAAGTGGATTAAGCCAGTCATACTGTATGACTCCACTCATATGACGTGCCTGGAGTAGGCAAACTCATAGGGCAGAAGGTAGAGTGGTGATTGCCAGCGGCTGGGAGGAGAGGGGAATGGGGAGTTGTTTATAGGTACAGGGGTTCAGTTTGGGATGATGAGAAAGTTCTGGAGATGAATGGGGGTGATGGTTGCACAACGATGTGAACATACTTTATTCTACTGAACTTGAAAATGGCTAAAACAGGCCAGACGCAGTGACTCATGCCTATAATCCCAGCACTTTGGGAGGCTGAGACAGGTGGGTCACTTGAGGTCAGGAGTTCAAGACCAGCCTGGCCAACATAACAAAACCCCATTTCTACTAAAAATACAAAAATTAGCCAGGTGTGGTGGCGCACACCTGTAATCTCAGCTACATGGGAGGCTGAGACACTAGAGTCGCTTGAACCCGGGAGGTGGAGGTTACAGTGAGCCGAGATCATGCCACTGCACTCAAGCTTGGGTAACAGAGTAAAACTGTGTCTCTAAATAAATAAATAGGCTAAGATGGTAAATTTTATGTTGCATGTATTTTACCATAATTTTTAGAAGAATGCATGTTTGACCCTCTTAGGCATGAGGTGTCTATTAGCCACACAGTAGAGAAGTCAAGGAGGCAGTTAGTGATATATAAAGGGTTCAGGAGAGCAGCACGGGCAAGGAGAAATTGGGAAGCTGTTGGCGTGTCGGTGGGCTCCCAAGTCAAGATACTGGGTGAAATCACCGTGGGAATAAATGCAGGCAGAGCGAAGGACCCAGGATTGCGTCCTGGGTCTCCCAGTGTTAAGAGGACAAGGAGAAGGGCGGAGCAGGTAGCGAGGGAGATGAGAAGGAGCGGCGCTGAGGCCAGAGGAAAGGCGAGGGGCTGTGTTTCTGTAGAGCAGAGAAAGGCCTCGGGAGGAAGGGCTGGCGACGGCGTAGCGCACCACTCGCAGGCCAACCCTTATTTCCACCAGACAACGGTGTTGCCGGGTATTTTCAGCTGCCCCCTTCCCAGAAGTCGCTCTGCCCTCTCTGCTCACCTGACAGCCTGGCTTGGAGATGCCTGCCAGACTCCACTCAGAGCTGGGTCTTGTCTCTCGTCCTCATGGGAGCTCAGAGGGTGGAATTTGCTCTATTGGATTTTGCAGAACTTCCATTACATTTGGATGAAGAACGTAAAGGCAATTTGGCCTTTTAATGAAAATTGTTTCAGCTCCCTGCCGTCTTAAGCTCTGTGTGGAGACTTTGTGTTTGGCCAGTGTGTATGCTGGGATTCTACCCCAACCTGCTGTGAGATAGATCAGTTAATGAAAACCAAGTTCATTTTATTTTATTTTGGGATTTTTTGTGTATTTCCCACGTATTCTACAACAATATGTGTTCTTTTTGTAATTAAAAACTCCTATTTTTAAGAGTCAAATTCACTTTGATTCACTTTTGGAAATCACTCCAATATAAGTAAGTAACCCAAGGCACAGACTCTGGGAATTTCCTTCAGTTGTTCTTAACCTTCCCTGAAGGTATGCAGGGAGGTGGGGAGTGGGTGGGAATTTGGGGTGAGAATTGGAGCTATGAAACTGATATGTATACATGGCCTTGCCCAAGTTGTTTGGCATCTCTGAGCCTCAGTTTTCCTCCTCTTTAAAATGGGGATAAGGATAGTTTTTGGGGTTTTTTCTTTCTTTTTTTTTTGAGATGGTGTCTCGCTCTGTTGCCCAGGCTGGAGTGCAGTGGCGCGATCTCAGCTAACTGCAACCTCTGCCTCCCAGGTTCAAGCAATTCTCCTGCCTCAGCCTCCCGAGTAGCTGGGACTATAGGCGCCCGCCACCACGCCTGGCTAATTTTTTGTATTTTTAGTGGAGTCGGGGTTTCACTGTGTTAGCCGGGATGGTCTCAATCTCCTGACCTTGTGATCCGCCCACCTCAGCCTCCCAAAGTGCTGGAATTACAGGCATGAGGGACCGTACCCAGGCCATGATGGTTTTTATCACATAGAATTGTTGTAAAAATTAAATCAGAGTGTTCACATTGAGTGCGTAGCAGAGGGCTGGCGCACTGTCACCAAGGGCACATAAATGTGTGCCCAGCCCTCGTGATGGCAGTGAGCCAGAACAGGCACTGTTCCCACAGTATTATGGGCACCTTGCATGGAGCGTATCTGATAGGCTGTATTAGCCCGATTCTGCCTCCACCCCTGTCAACCCTAGAGTTTACCCAGGACCAAAAGTCAACTTAAGTATCCTCTGTGTCGTGGCCTCGGCTTACCTAACATGTTCTACAGATAGATGTTGTTCAATAACAGTAATGATAGCCTTCAAAGAAGCTTTTGAAAAGCTAACATGAATTTCCAAAATCCAACACTAGAGCTGATGTGTGCCCCGCTTGTCTTTATTTTCAAGGTGTTCTGAAGACACCAATCCCGATATTAACCTACCAAGGTGGATCAGTGGAAGCTGCCCAGGCATTCCTGTGCAAAGACGGAGACCCACAAACACCTAGGTACGTATGTCCCATTCCAGTTTAAGTGGCGGATAGTAGAAACGCCCATATGCGCTCTTAACTTAGCCAGCAAAGCTGAGCCTTTCAGAGGGAACAAAGCCATGAGCCAAGGAAGATGGGTTCTCATGGACCAGACTAACAAATGAAGCTGGGGGGTTTCAAGGTGTTCTGGGGGCCTCACAGAGCATCTCTGGAAGTAACAGATCCCTGGTCAGTAGAGAGGGACAGCATATCTTCCTGACAGAGGGGAGACATAGAAGTAAAAAATAAAGACTAGAAGTTTCTCAGTCTCAAACTATGGGTCATGACATGTTAGATAATAGTGAAATCATTTCAGTTGGGGTATCCAGCACCTTTGGAAAATGAAATAGAAATACAGCATCATTGTATATCTTGTATAGTAATGGTAAGTACTCCCTCATAAGACTGTGTACGTGCAAGTGTGTGTATTTCTTACTATGTGTTATGGTCAAACTTTTTTGTTTTTTTGGATGGGGGGATGGAGTCTTGCTCTGTCGCCCAGGCTGGAGTACAGTGGCACGATCTCGGCTCATTACAACCTCCGCCTTCCAGGTGCCAGTGATTCTCCTGCCTCAGCCTCCCAAGTAGCTGGGATTACAGGCACACACCATCACAGCCGGCTAATTTTTCTATTTTTAGTAGAGATAGGGTTTCGCCATGTTGACCAGGCTGGTCTGGAACTCCTGACCTCAAGTGATCCACCTACCTCGGCCTCCCAAAGTGCTGGGATTACAGGTGTGAGCCACCGTGCCTGGCCTCCCTGAACCATTTTTAAGCTTACACTTCAGTGGCATAAAGGTACACTCACATTGCTGTGCAGGCATCATCTCCATCCATCTTCAGAACTCTTTTCATCTTGCAAAACGGAAAGTCTGTGCTCCATTCAAAGATAGTTCTCCATCTCCTCCTCAACCCAGCCTCTGGCAACCACAATTCTACTTTCTGTCTGTCTGAGTTTGACTATTTGAGGCACCTTGTGTAAGTGGAATCATCCGATATTCGTCCTTTTGCGACTGCTCATTTCACTTAGCATAATGTCCTCAAAGCTGATGTCGCAGCATGTGCCAGAATGTCCTGCCTTTAGAAGGCTGAATAACATTCGCTTGTGTGTATATACCACATTATGTTTGGCCTTCATCCAGCAGCGGGCTCTTGGTCTGCTTCCTGCTCTTGGCTACGCTGAATCCTGCTGCTATGAGCATGGGTGGACAAATATCTCCTTGAGTCTTTCACTTCTGGACATACAAGTCGAAGTGAAATTGCTAGATCATATGGTATGTTCTATTTTTAATTTTTTGAGGAACGGCCATACTATTTTTTATAGCAGAGTTGAGATTTTTGAAGAACACTGTCTTGGAAGGATTGAGAGAGATGTAAAAGTACAATATGTATATTCTTTTTTTTTGAGACAGAGTCTTGCTCTGTCACCCAGGCTAGAGTGCAGTGGCACAATCTTGGCTCACTGCAGCCTCTGCCTCCCGGGTTCAAGTGATTCTCGTGCCTTGGCCTCCCAAGAAGCTGGGATTACAGGCACCCGCCACGGTACCTGGCTAAGTTTTTGTATTTTTAGTAGAGACTGGGTTTCACCATGTTGACCAGGCTGGTCTTGAACTCCTGGCCTCAGGTGATCCACCCGCCTCAGCCTCCT